CTCAGTGTTTCAAGAAAGGAAAAACAACCGTGTTGACATTGTCTCAAGTGTGTGTTTACTTTCCACTGGTTGGTTAAGTGGTTAATATTAGTTGTCGGAAACAAGTGCCTCCCGCTAAACGTTTAGACAACCTGACCTCTGCTTGCCTTCGCTCAATCTAGGCGAGGAACTGTTTCCATGGAGACAGTGTTCACCCATAAGTTGAGTGATTGAGTCTGAAGTGTGAGGTGCTCGCTGTCTGTCTGAAAGGACATAAAACACGCTCACTGGGATCAGCGCAGTGTGACGTGGATTGTATGCGTACTAAAGGATGGCTGAAGATTTTTAGTCCTTCCGAGAAGAACTAAACTCAGAGAACTTTTGGGAACTTGTTATGACTTAGATGAAACATCAGCAAGTGGTCAGGCAGAATGAGTTTACATGAATGGAAATTTAAAGTAGTGTAAACACTATGCTACACTAAATAAGTCACTACTGTTTGCTGCACATACCATATTTTGTTAATAGTTTGATGATGGCCTCAGCTTCATAATGGCATGCAGTGTAAATCCAGCATTACAAATTATCCCCACCTACACTGCAGAGCCAAACACAAATGCAGTTTTCTCCAGCCTCAGCCAGAGATGTCTGACATTTCTGTCTTGAGCTGACCTGCTCACTATTTCAGGAAACACATGCCTCTACCAATTACAAGCTAAAAATATGGACATCCCCTCTGGGTTGATCAGTTTAAAAGTGACATTGTATCACTAAAATGGTACAAAGTATATGAAAAGTGGATATATTCTTTCTGCTTTGATATTGTCATTATTAATAGTTGATAATGAGCATTTACAAAGATTCAGAAACATCAGTTGTAACATTATAATAGCCACTAATATAATGTTTTATACATCAGTTATTAACTGCTTGTTAAATTTTCAAAAATATTTACCCCATTAATTTAATTTAAGTGTTTATTTGGTAATGATGGTGTGACAGATTGGTGTATCCTGCCTCTCGTCCAGTGACAGCTGGGTTAGGTTACAGCACCCATGTGACCTTGAACTGGAGAAGCAGAAGCAAATAGATGGATGGTAATTATGGTTAATATGAAGCATTAATGGAATGAATAATGCTTCATATTAACCATTGTAGCTTATCTCATACTGATATCAGCAATTTAAGGTTTTGGCAAATTTACACTGAGCCCTCAGTGACATTATGTGCGACTGTTTCATTAACTCCGGATAACAGATTAAGATTGATAGTTATGGTCAGTACAGAGAAGGATGGCCCTTAAGGTTCAGCAAGATAGCTTTAGCTACATTTTTTGCATAATTTTTTTTAAAGTTCAATATTTTTATTGACATTTATTTTTTTGATTGGCTACATGCTGGAAAATGTTCCCACTGTGCTACTGACTTGGTTGTGTGTCTGCGTAAACCTGTAAAGTAAATCTGGATGGTGTGCCAGTGCCAGCCAAACGTGCGCATTACATTAACATTGAATCCTGCTGGCAGTTGGACGTCTTTGATTCCTCTCCTAGACTCCTCCCCTGATGTCTTAGTCCCTCCCATTAGAGGTAAGAGTGGAGGAGGAGAGGAAGAGACATGAAGAGAGAGGAGTCAACACAACAAGCAGTTAGAAAGATGAGACATCCTCAGTTTGATGTGTGTGTCATGATCGCGTCATGAATTTAACCAGCTGCATTTTCAGATCTAATTTATGAGGTACAACAGTGTTAGACTTTAAAAAAAAGAATTAATTAGTCATTTTCACAACAAGAGTAAAACACACACAGACAGTGAAGGTCAGAATGTTTGATCACATAATAAATCATCTAAAATACCCGAATGTATGTGTGAATACAAAAGACTAGCTGATTGAAGACCCCGTCTGCCCTCCACAGTTTGTACATTTCAGCTGTATACAGTGTTCCTTCTACATGTTTCAGGTAAAAATACTAATGCAAAGGATACATCTGTGCATCCTTAATGATAGCCTCTCTAGCAGGCCTGCTGTCCCGATGGACAGAGAACAGAGGAGGTTTATTATATTTTAGGAATTGGAAATCTACTTCAACAAGGTTTACTGAAATACATTCATGGGCCCAAGGCAGGAGGAGAGAGGACAGAGCCAAGAGAGAACTCAGTCAACCTTACCCCAGCTGAAAATCACTGTGCTAGCAGGGTCAGTGTTTCTGTAGATGATTATTTGTTGCATTGCTGTCAGCACTATATTTCGTTTTTCACTTCTATCTTTTTAAAGCTAAGCAAGTAGTTAGTATTTTATGCACTTTTAAGTATTTCACATCAATAAAAAAATGATCAAGTTTCCACAAATGTGATCTTTTACGTCTTGTTTGCTTGTGAAAGCTGATTGCCTTAAATCTTGTTTTTTTATCGTTTGAAACACCAGCATCAAGAGAAATTGTTGCTTTGCTGCTTTTCTGCGTGACAAGGCAGATGGACTGTCTGTTTTCCACACCTGCCCGCTGCTGACGTTCAGCCATTAGTCGGCAGGCGTGGGGAACCCCATGCCCTTACCTGCAGCACCAGACAAGATTAAAGGAACGAACAGACAGAGGAACCGATAGCCACGCTCAACAAATCCTCCCACACAGTCTGCAGCGATAACAAAAAAGCACTCTAAGTGGGTGTGGAAATGGCACCTGACCACTGGCAACAAGAGAGCAGGGGAAACTAAAATTTGCCCACTTTGATTAATTCAGCAGAACTTGCAAGCTTCTAATCATGTTACTACAATGTTTTTTTTAACCTCTTAAGCCCCAACGCCCCCTGATGCGGGGGCAAATGGCAGAAGATCAGTTAGGCTTGGGGCTTAAGAGGTTAATGTTAGTTTTACTTTATCAGAAGAAATTCTTGTCCCATGCATTGATGAAAGCAAATGACCACACGATCAGTGTTTTGAAGCAAACGTGAGAGTTTTTTTAAAATGTTAAACTGGTGTTTGATGACAGAAAAGAAAAAAAAGCACTTTTACAAATGAAGAGTTGACTGCACCAATCAGGGTGTGCTCGGAGGAGGAGGCGGTGAGAAGAGGGATGATGATGTGAGTGTTTGACAGATGAAACATCAGACAGTCTCTCTGCACACACACACATGCGCGCACACACTCACAGACACAAAATCAAGAGGCTTCCTTTGGTTGGTCATTGTTCAGAACGTCCATGGAATGAGCACACGCAGATCTGCAGCGCTTAAGTGAACGGTGCTGCCAGCGAGACCAGGTACTGTGGTTTTTATTTACTTTAAACTTTCAGTATTTTATGTTGTGTGGATTATAAGACATAAACTGCTACTTACAAGAAGTGTTTTCTGACAATTTGTCATGTTAAACGAGTCAGCCTATTAAACTTAAGATTTTGCAACCACATCTGACTAATCTGCATCTGCATTATTAATTTTTTGCTCATTTTATTACAGATATTTCATCTGATGTGAAATTCTTTCAACAAAACGATCAACCTGTCGTCAAAAACCTCTTCAGAAAGCTTGCCTGTGAGATGTTAGAGCCAAATGTATGCATGCGTGTTTAAACCAGAAGTTTCATTCTGCTAGTGCATGTATATTTGTGCCTGTTGATGCATGTAACACGCACGGTGAGTCTGTGACTTGGCAGCGCCGGCAGAGGCGGTGCATGTTGTTTCAGTGGTGTCTCTGTGCCGCTGCTGCTGCTGCTGTGCTCATGGCTAAGAGGAGGGCTGCAGGTAGCTGCTGCTGCTGCCCCAGAGCGCCCATGAAAGAGGACAATGCTCGTTTTTGCCTGCTGGCCGGACTCATCCTGCTCTACTTATTGTGCGGAGCTGCCATCTTCTCAGCCTTGGAACACCCGTTTGAGCTCCGCGCACGCCTCCTGTGGAAACAGCAGCTGGACAACTTCACCAGGAGATACAGGGTCAACCTGGGCGCCCTGCACACTCTGCTGAGGCAGTATGAGGAGGCAAACGGAGCTGGCATCAGGGTGGACACATTAAGGCCACGCTGGGACTTTTCTGGAGCTTTCTACTTTGTGGGCACAGTGATCTCCACTATTGGTAAGTCTCCACTTAACATTTTTTCCTGATTTTTCTTCAGTTTTGGAATGTTGCTCACAGCTGTGATCATTTATTTAACCTTGTATTTTGTGTTTTCTCTCTAAGGTTTTGGCATGACCACACCAGCAACCATAGCAGGAAAAATATTCCTAATCTTCTATGGTCTCATTGGCTGTGCTGCCACCATCCTCTTTTTTAACCTCTTCCTGGAGAGGATCATCACCATGTTAGCTTACATCATGCGCTGGTGTCATGAGCGTCGGCTGAGGTGTGCTGGAGTTGGGGTGGTGTCGAGCAGGGAGGAGTCATCTGGTGAAGAGGACAGTCTGGAAGGATGGAAGCCATCCGTCTATTACGTGATGCTGATCTTAGGGATAGCATCTGTTGTGATTGCTTGCAGTGCCTCCACTCTGTACAGCTCCATGGAGAACTGGAGCTACGTGGACTCTCTGTACTTTTGCTTCGTGGCCTTCAGCACCATTGGCTTCGGGGACCTGGTGAGCAGCCAGAGGCAGCAGTACGATTCTCAGGAGGCCTACCGGTTTGGAAACTGCCTTTTCATCTTAATGGGGGTTTGTTGCATCTACTCACTTTTCAACGTCATTTCTATCGTCATCAAGCAGACTCTCAACTGGATCCTGGGAAAGCTGGTCTGCTCAGGGAAGCATCAGCTCTGTTCCTGCTCCACCCCTGGCTGCTGGTGGCTCTGCTGCCCCTGTCCCCACAACAAAAATCACAAACAGAGGCGTCAACTGCGTCAACTGGCACACTTCAGGCCAAAACGCATCAAACGCAACGCTGTGCAGCCCATCTCATCCCACCACCGCTACACAGACGGCTCGGTTGAGACTGTGTGCGACAGCGAGACGGATGCGGGCGCGTTGGCTGAAGTACAAGTGGGGCGTCGTTTGTCAGGGGAGATGATCTCAGTCAATGAGTTCATGGTGTCCAACAAGGTGTCTCTGGCACTGCTGCAGAAACAGCTGAGTGAAACAGCTCACCAGGGCCCACGGCAGAGCTACAGCCATCAGAATGGTTTCTCTGGTGGTGTGGGAGCACTGGGGATTATGAATAATCGCTTACAGGAAACCAGTGTGGATAGATAGCATCATAACAACACCTCAATTGTTCTTTGGGTTCTCTATATTTAAGCCTTACATTTCCTTAGGATTTTTTTTTTATTATGAGTAATTTGTTCTGTATTAAAAAAATATCCAAAAATAGAATATTTTGTTTCTGAAAAGTGGACTGTAGCCAGCAAATAATTGTTCATACGTTGTTTGGTGAGGAGAAAGAGGAAGTTAAAGGACAAATATGTGTTAAAGACTTCAGCATCATTTGAAGAGGGGTTTGATGTCCTGAAGTGACTGACTCACAGAAACGCAATCAGATGAGAGAAGCTTTGAAGGAGCACTTAAAGAGGACTGCTGATTTAAGGACACTGCACATGTCCCCCTCCCCGAGCTCCTCAGAAGACAACGTTGTACATAAGGTGGTAGTTAGTGGACGTAGAAACCAAAATATCTCCTCTTAGATAACTAGCTGCATATATAAAACAGTTCAAATATGATTTGTATTTAAACAGAGCTTCTCAAACAAACTGCAGGAGCTCAGAAGCACCAAGAAAGACATTTTTCAATTGGACGTCATTGAAATTCAGAGTAATCATGAAAGAGATCCAGGGTTTTCAATTGAGATCTAATGAAACATGACTTGTAGAGGACGTCCTTATGTCAACGAGGGCTTTGCAGATAGTCACAGGATCACGTCAGCAGAGCAGAGAGAAAGATTTAGGTAACTAGATGAAATCCTTTACTATGCAACAAAAGCCGTTTGTAATTCATTCATTTATAAGGAGGGTTTTTGTGAGTAGATGATGAGTGTGAGGTTAAAAGCTTTCATAGAAAATCATAATCACCCATTTTCAGCAGTCGCAGCTCATACTTTGTCTTCACTGTGTTCAAAATGAGTTATTTAAGAAACGAGCACAGAAAGTCATCAGACAAATATTCTTTATTTAGATTTAAAACAATAGTGACACTTAATGTAATTTCCTTAACGTAACACAGAAAATGACTCGCTGACGTAATGTTACAATGCAGTAAGCAGTAAAATAACTCATCCAGAAACTGACCCACTCTAGTGCTGTTTGTTTTGTCAGCTGTAAAAAAAAGGGGAATAAGGCATCAGTTCATGGAGAAAATCCCATTTCATGTAAACTTTACCTTTGAATGTGTTTAGAAATAATATATGTTTAGAAAGAATTGCAAATTGTGTACATGCTGAACGTATTCATGTAAATTTAGACAGTAATCACAGCGGGACACATTTTAGGGGGGAGACTTTTAGTTCCATTTGTAAGTATTTCAAATTTGACATATTTTGTTCTTGTTTTTGAAAATGTAAAACACTTTGTCAAAACGTTTTTAGATCCCGTGACATGAATTGTGAGTAGAGTCAGATATCTAATGAGTTTATTTGCCTTTCACTTACAGCAACGAGGGAAAAAGATTGTGTGCATCCCCACGAGCTGTCTCATGAACTACTAGCATTTCCTGTCACAACAAATGGACACATGTTAGCTGCATGCTAGGTTTTATTTAATGGTGACAATGTTTCCTGAAGAGGAAAGGTAAACCTGTTCATTCTTTAATACACACACACGCGCACACACACATGCACACACGCACATGCACGCACACACACACACACACACATATATGTATAGTCTTAAATCATCATTTTCAAAATGCAACCCTGCATGTACTAATCTTTCTTATTTTATCCAATGAAAACAAACTATGTCACAGTTGGTTGTTATTCAGTTCAATTTGTCATCTGCACTTTCTTTTTATTGAGGTTGAGGTTTGGTTGCTGGGTCAGTGTCTCTGAGTCATTTTTACAAAATATCTTTCTTGTATAAATATAAAGTATCAGGCTTTACTAGATCTGTTTTTGCATTTTTTTTTTTGTCATGACAAGATGGTGCTCGCTAACAAACACCATTGTCTTGTTGTGAAACTGCACACATGAAAAAAAAAAAACAGGTTTAATATTCACATTTATTACAGTCCCTTTCCTTTGAGGAACTTTGGAGACAAAATCTAAATCCCTTGGCCTTCTCAAGAGCCTCCCAGACCCTGAACATGTCTTTTTACTTATATTGTTAGGTCCATTAGTTGTTTTTTTTTGCCTTTCTACATCATGACAGTGGATATTTACATCAACCAATCAAGATATAATTGCAGTGCAGCCTTTCAGCTTTAATTCAAGGGGTTTATCAAAAAAGTTTGCATTGACTGTGCAGACATGGTTTTACCATAAATGTGCATATAAAGATTGTTTTTATGACTGAGGTAAAAATCCTTTGCCTGGTTGCAGACAGAGAGGCCCCTGACACCATTAGATGCTGTTTCCTCCCTTGAGATGCTCTTCCAAACTGCAGTTGCCTTCACTTGCAGCTTGACTGTGGGTCTTTCTGCCATCACTATTGTCTTCAGTCACTTCAGTAAAGCATGCTCTGTCCCAGTGAGATCAGTTGACTGAATTGGCCATTGAAAAAGATTCCTTTTCTGTGCTTTAGGAAACTCTTGGGTTGCCTTTGCACAATGCTTTAGGTCCTTATCTTTTTGCACTGTGAAGTGCTGCCTGATCAGTTTTGCAGCATTTGGCTGAACCTGAGCTGAGAGTACAGCTTTGTACACTCATAGTTCATCCTGCTGCTTCTATTACAGGCCCATGCCATAACACGTTTCTCTTGATTTCATCTTTCCAAAGATATTTTTTTTTCGCATCGTGTTTTTCGGGCAATGTCTAATCTTGCATTCTTGTTTTTGACTGTAACCAGTGGTTTGCACATTATTGTAAATCCTGTTGTAAAGCCTCTTTAATTAAAGCTGAAGAAACACGTATGGACCTAATTGTAACTGTCACTCACATTTGGTATCATGGGCTTGTGCGCATCACGTTGTTGATAGTAAGCAGAGATAATGCAGTTCCTCCTGTAACGCACAGAAGTAACACAATGTAATCACTACTGCATCCAGCAGAATGTGGTTTGCATGTACAAATGCACATAGATGCTCATTTGTGTCTTACTTGCTCTGTATGCCTCCACCTGGTGGTAATCCAGGGATGACAGTGGATGCAAGAACTGTGAGGACGGACAGCAGCTCAGGCTCTTCCCCTCTGGCACACAGCTCATCATAAATCTCTGATTAAAAAGAAAGATGCATTTTTAGAGAGTTTCTTTCTAATATACACTGGACACTTTAGATTTAGGCAAAATTCTGTAAAGAGCACAGTTTTTAGGACTATTTTCAGCTGTGGATCAATACACATCAGGATTTCTAATGAGTATTTACCACACTAGGGTAATTGTGGGACTTACTCAGAATAAATGATAGTGCCTGTGTTCATAAGTAAATAGGTTCATGGCAAGAATCACAGATTTGGTGTTTTGCTTTTGTTTTTTACCCTGACACGTGATGTCAGAAATCATTTAAATAATTATCTTGGAAAAAAAACATTGATTAACAAATCTTTCAAACTTGTTTTGCAAACCATTGAAACACCAAAGCGTGTCAGAATTGAAACATTACACCATGGCAAAAACAGACTCCAGGTTGCTAATATGAAGGTTTTCACTGTCCACAGTGTGACTTGCAAAGCATCTTTACCCACACACCTGCCACCTTGGACTCCAGCAGGTCCTCCAGCTCAGCTTCCTGGTGTAATGCCTCTGTTGACAGCTGGGGGGCTCCAGGGAAGCACAGCAGGATGATGCTGATGTTGTCCAAGCTGCCCTGTGGAACAAAACGGCATCAGCAGAGGTGAGTAATGATGGCTGACCTTACAAATGTCAACTTATGAAACATCCCACTTGAGCAGTTTTACAAATAGATCTTTTTTTTTTTCACATCAACGTTTGCACTCCAATGTCACACGGACTCAGGGGAGCTGCAAAATGGAAATGGAGTGCGGAAGAAGGCATGACATTTTGAGGTCACTGTGCACATCCAAGCTGAAGCACTGTTACATAAGCGTGACATGAGGACCCAACAGAGTGCACATGTGGCTCAAGTTTATCTTAATGTGTTTCTGTGTTTGTAATCTGTCATGTAATTTTAATCCAATATCTACTTTCTTTCGTTACATTCCTGTAACATTCTGTAAAATCTCTGAGCGAGAGTGTCGGTAATTAGGCCTCATGGGAACCCTGAATAATGCGATGTAACCTGTTCCGACACCCCTGCAGTCTATTTTGAGGCTGTCTGATAGTCTGTTGTACCATGAACAGCAGCGGCAGTCTCAGTGAGACTAAACCAAAGCTTAAGCTGAGGTCAGTGTTGCTTTTTAGCTTTTTAATTTTTGCCATTTCAGCCAAAGATCCTATTAAGTTTTCCCCTCCATATGGGAACGAAATTGTAGGCTGTAAATGGATTGATAAGTATGGCAGAACTTGCTGAAAAGAATCAGGAAAAGCCACATTTAACCACACAGGACTGGCATGACATTTTCAACTAAGAAGATGAAAACAAGACATTTAACAAAAGGCGCACGTCTTGTATGTGCCTCTGCTCGGGCCTCAGTTATCATCTCACTCTGCAGCTCCCCTCAGCTTCATGAGAAAGTGACCCTGAGAGCTTACATTAGCACACTCTAAGAAGAACATTTCTTATCTATGGATTACAAAAACCCTTTTATATTCTAAGCTTCCATATATGGATGTGTTTATTGACTTTGGAGCACATTTCACAAATATGCTGCATGTGCTATAGAATTAGTGAGGAAGTTCACTTAGTCTGCTTCTGTTTTATCTTGTGTTTTTTCCTAAAATTCAATGGGTTCTCAGGACCGCCATGGGTCAAACTTTAATGGTGACTTCGTGCTTATTTTTGATTTCAAACAGTTTTACCTCAAGATAAGTTTTTAGTTGCAGAGATGAACATTTATGTAGTAAGAAAATATTTCCACGTGTGACTCTGCACCCTTTACAACCTCAGAACTTTTAAAGGGTTATCTTTAAAAGAGGAAGCAGAGCCCATTACCTTATATCAAAATGAATATCCAGTCCATTATGTCTTTGTTTAAAAACACAGTCAGTCTTGTAGTCGATTACTTTACTTGATTAGAAGCCATGAAATTCAAAGCTGATTAAAAATTATGTAACTCAGCTTGAAACTGAAATTGTGTTTTTAATCAGTTGAAAGGATTTGTTATTCAGACTACTGAACAGCAACACAAGCGCATGCAGTAAGTGTGTGTAACAGTGCTGACCTTATAGAGGCAGAGGTCAATGACCTGAGTGCAGACGTCCCTCAGGTCGGTGCAGACACGCAGCCGGTTGTGGATGAAGGCGCACAGCTCCTCGTTGCTGATGGTGTCCCACACGCCATCACAGGCGAGCACCAGGAATTCATCTGCCGGCGAGCGCTCCACCACACACACTTCTGGCTCAGGTGAAACCATCTGCTGGCTCGGGGTCCGGTTCTCTGCCCCCTTGTAGCCGAAGTCTCCCAGAGCGCGTGACACTGCCAAGGAGCCGTTGATTCGTTGGAAGGACACGGAGCCACCCGCGCTCTCAATACGTTCTTTCTCCAGAGGGCTGTAAGGTTTGTGGTCCTCAGTGGAGAAGCAGACCTGCCCAGACCGGCACAGCATGGCCCTTGAGTCACCGCAGTTGGCAAAGTAGATGTAATATGGCGAAATGAGAGTGGCCACCACAGTGGTGCCGCCCCTCTCCCAGCCCTCTCGACGGGCCACAGAGTGCAGGTGCTTGTCTGTCTGGAGGAAGCCCTCTTCAATGGCCCCTTTCACTTTTGGTGGGTCATCTTCTGGTCCTATTCCATCTGTGAGCACAAACAGTATTTTCTGAACCCAGCAGCCATAGCAGTCATCATATTGATGACTAATAACAAAGGAAAATCACCAGCCTGTTTAAAATTCTGAATATCTCATAAAATAATAACCTTATAAGATAACACCCACACACCCACACACACTGTCAGGTGTCACTGAAAAGATCTCTCACCCGTAGCCAGGATGTGACCCAGAAGGTGTTGGGAGCAGTACTGAGCCACCGTGCTGCCTGCATGGCCATCGAACACTGCAAAGAAGCTCCAGTCAGCTAGCTCTCCACCCAGCTGTGGCACACAGTTGTGGAAGTCCTCCATGTTGGCCCTCCAGCCCTGCATACTACCTAGGGCATAGGTGAGGCCCCAGCGGGCGCAGCCCTCCTCTGTGAGCTTGTCCAGGACTGGCCTGTCTAAGTAGGGACTGGGGATGACCTCCTCCTTCTCCCCCTCCCCTTGCTGCTCTCCTTCTGCTGTTCCTCCACGGCCCCCTTTGAAGAAAGAGCTGACCCTCTTTTCTGTTTCTTTCACCAGCTGGCGCACAAACGCAGGCATCTCTACACTGCCCTTCCTGGCTGTCCTCATGGCTTTTATGCACAGGTGTTGTGAAGGGAATCTTGTTTTGTCCCTGCCCCGGTGTTGCTGGCCGGGATGGAGAGCTGAGCTATAGGCCTGATGTGGGGCCCGTGCAGTGTCTGCGTAGCCCTGCTGCTCCAGGGCTCAGAGCATGGCTGCCTGAGCTGATGGATGTTGTGTGTGCTGGCTGCTTACCCCCCTCTCGCTGCTCATCTCCTTCTTCTCCTCTCCCTCTCTGGAGACCTCACTGATCAGCGCTTTTACCTCCGATCATCCTTCCGCTCCTGCTTGTTTGGCCTCTTCTCTGTGCTGCTGAGATTTCACCTTCTCCCTCGCTTTTTCATAGCTCTTCCCTCTTTCACCAGCTTCTCCCTTGCGTTGTTATTTTCCCTGCCCGTGCTGTGATTGGCTGGCTATTTGTGTGCACCAATGATTGCCTGGCTTGCTTTGCCACTGTCATGTTTGCGCTCACTCTCACTCACCATCCTCCTGTCTGCAGCTCTCTGCCCCTCCCACATCTTTCCTAATCTCAACCTTTGATCGGTCGGATTATAGGCTTGTGGATTACAGTACTGTCGGACACGCAGCACAAAGTGTGAGATGGTTTGAAGAAGACACACAGAGGTTGGAGGTTGATCCTGTTAAACTGATCGTATATCGTCCTTATCTTTTGTTTATTAAACACAATAATAGTACATACACTTCAAACCACAGGTGTTTTTTCCTGAAATCAAAGCTGCGTTCATTCTTTAGGCGGGAGATAGACTGTATTTTTATTTTTGTATTTGCAATATTTGCTCAGTATTAAAATGTTTATTTTATTACTTATTTTTTCGGATGTTATTTAGAAACTGAAACCGTTTAAACTTTTAAAATTCCTGCGTTTTATAATCACAGAGGCAGAAATATGCGTGTCTTCGCCATTTAAACTGCAATTTTTATTTTCATGATTAATCACCCTAACAGGACTTACAGCTGTTTTTGTTTGGCCCCGTTCCCCAAACAACAGCTTACATCTGTGCAGTGAACAAGGATGACATCACCACTGTGTAATTCTCCACATTACTCTGACTTGGGTACAGATATTAGTAAAGCTGCAATCAGACAAGAAGGGAGGAATTTTTTTTTAACACCTAATAAGTCATGATGGTGTAAAAACCACTTGTCAAAGTGATACACACAATAAAAATAAACATCTTAGTTTGTTTTGTCACCACCTGCCAAGAAGAGGCAGAATAGATGTGTTAGATGTGCCTCAGCTTGATCAACAGTTTTTATCTCTCTGTCCTTTTTTTCATGCTAATGTCAGATTTTCACTGCAGAGATCTCGTTTTCGCTAACAACATTGCCATTGTGCTTGAAATGTAACAATAATGCTACCTGTCCAATTCATTCTGCCAGAGACTTCTTCCTGTTAAAAGGGAGGTTTTCTTTCCCACTGTCGCCTTTGGTCCACTCATAGGGGATCGTCGGATCAATAGGGTTTTCTCTCTGATGCTGTTGGGTCTTTACTTTACAGTATAAAGCACCTTGAGGTGACTGCTGTTGTGGTTTGGAGTTATACTATATAAATAAGTCTGAATTGAATGTATGATCAGTGTAGAATCACCAGTTAATCTAACATACATGTCCTTGTTCTGCTTACATGGCTCTCTAGAGTAACTGTAGAGAGCCATACAAGCACAGGAAGAACATCCTAATGCAACTCAGAAGGTTCCAGCAAGAATCCTTTTGATATGAAGCCACAGTGCTAACCACTGCACCACTGTGCCGCCAGGCTTTATTGTGTGTTTTGGCACTTTTTTGCCTTGCTAATTACACTCAAAAGACAACTGTAGTGATAGGACACATCAGTATAGCCCTCTACAACCATAAATGTAGAAAAACATACAAAAAAAAGTACATACTTTTATTTTCACATGTGTATCAGACACTATTAATTAGCAATGTATCAGTTGTTGAATAACAGTTATATAACACCCTTAATGAGCAAACACATCATGGCTTTTTTAAATACAAATGTTAGTACAGCTCCCTTTTATAGTATACATCTGAGCCTGTGCTTTTCTAACATGGGTTTCCTCTTTTATAAGGTTGTTCTTATGTTATCTTTAGAGCTTTAAAGGTGTGAGTGAAAGTGTTAAATATACAGATGGCGAGGCGAGTTTGGCTCCGTGTTTTGGTCTGACACACTGAAGGTGTCATGAGGGACATTTGTGCAGAGTGAATAATAAATCTATAGAGAAACTCATCTTTCTTGCTTATCTGTAAAACGTGGGCAAGTGACTGCAGTGACTGTATGTATTCAGCTTGATGTCAGTGCTGTAGTACGCAGCTTTTGGCATTAGCTTCCTGCTAACATTAGTTGTTTTCTTATCAGTTTGGATTGATGATCATTTTACATTAAAAAAACTGTCATGGTCTGTCGTGCATGGAAAGGCCTCTGTGTGCAAATCAGCCACCAACTGGTTGAGGAAGCATTAGCCTCTACAAGCTGTGGGGCATGTACATGCTCAAGTCTCAAGTTCCCAATTTGAGTGTGTGTGAATCCAATACAGGATAAAATTAGGCCAGCCGGGCCTTATATTGCTGACGGAGCTGGGTGGCCAAAAAAAGCCTGGAGTGCAAGCCAACGGTGGAAGCACAAGAAAGAGAGGAGAGCAAGCAGGACCGCCGCTGAAATGGCCACCAAACGTAAGGAAATCAATATTGACAGCTTTAAGTAAAGTGAAGGAGAGCAGACGGGGTCAGAGTGCAGCTGTCAGGTGGAGAAGAAGGGAATTCATTTACTTTCCGCTGTGCAGGTGTGAATGCAGGCAGGATGGCAAGTTAAACACTGAATCCAGTGTGTCTTTCATTTGGTCGACAGATGGGCTGAATGGGATTGAGCTAAATGAGAGCCCACTGCTGACTGAATGTAGTTTGTTTTATTTGTAAAGGCTTAAATTGTTATAGGAGATAAGAAATGTTGTCTTGTCAGGGCTGTTTTACTTCTGATAACACATAACTCCAGTTATTCGGATAAGAATGAGAGGGCGTACTTGTGCCCAGCTTTGAAGTGACTTCACTGGCGTGACAACATTAATGTTTCTGTTTTCATAAATGAATAAGAATACATCTACTTTTATAATTCTCAGGAAACCCAACTATGAAAACCAGCAATACTCTGCTGCTTTTAAATAATCTGTTTTAATCATAAAATGATCTTAAATTTGTGCTGCAGTTAGGATGCTCATGTAATCTTGGTGGGTAAGGATCTAGTGTCTAATCTGACGATTTATGATTTACTTTCAGACACGTACAGATCGTAACACGTAAAAACAGCATTCATTCAGAAAGATTTTCTCCTTTATTAAAGGAGCATGGTATGGCATGAAACGAGGTGAGGGTGTCCTTCATTTTCTGTAAAATTGTTTTGTCATTTCTCTTCGTTACCCCTTTCTCTTTCTTATCCACACTTTAAATAACCACGTGTCCAAACACCCATTAGTTGTGGTCGTTGTGGTAGAAAGAATTTTAGATGACTTTTATGAGACCATGTGAAAAAGTCTTAGTCTCTATTTATGGCTCAAAACAGTTCAAATATCCACAGTGGGACTTATCAGAGAGAAAAGGGAGAATATGATACAGCAACTCATAGCAGCTGTTTAAATTTAGTTTAAAACATTCACTGTACTAGCAAAAGTAGCACATGGCATCTTTTGTATACCCCACATGTTTTAAAAACCAAATGAATTAATTTTTATTTACACGGCACCAGATCACAACAACAGCCTCAGGGCGCTTTATATTGTAAGGTAACCCTAATGTAACCCTGCAGTAATACCAAGAAAACAGAGAAAACCCCAACAATCACATAGCCCCGGTGAGCAAGCGCTTTGGGGAAGCACAAAACTCCCTTTTAACAGGAAGAAACCTCCAGCAGAAACAGGCTCAGGGAGGGGCAGCGATCTGCTGCGACTGGAGGAAGACAGGACAAAAGACACGCTGTGGAAGA